GAGTTGCTCAGGCTTGTTGGAGGGCACATCATGGTATCATGGAACCTAGACACCAAACATGAAACCAGGGGTTTAACTCCTGCCATGCTGTGTTTTGTTTTTCGTTTAGTTAGTTAGTTAGTTAGTTAGTTAGTTATTCACTTTACATCCTGATCTTAGCCCCTTCCCTCCTCTCCTCCCAGTCCCACCCTTCCTCCTTTTCCAACTTTCCGCTTTCCCCTACTCCTCAAAAAAGCACCCCCAACCCACCCCAGCACATCAAGTTGCAATAGGACTGAGCACATCCTCTTCTCCTGTGGCCTGGTGAGGCAGTCCATCCAGGAAGAAGTGATCAAAAGCAACAGAGTCCATGTTAGAGACAGCACCTGCTCTCCTTACTAGCAAAACCACATGAAGACTGAGCTGCCCATTGGGTAGATCTGTGTAGGGGGCCTAAGTCTAGTCCATGCATGGCCTTTGGTTGGTTAGTCTCTGCAGCCTCCACCCCTGGGCCCAAGTTAGTTGGCTCTGTTGGTCTTCTTATGGAGCTCCTGTCCCCTCCAGTTCCTTTTATCCTTCCCCTAACTTTTTCCATAAGATTCCCTACACTTCACACAGTGTTTGCCTGAGAGTCTCAGCATCTGTTTCTATCACTGATGGGTAGAGCCTCTCAGAGGTGAGCTATGCTAGGCTCCAGTCTTCCCTTTAATCATCCTTCCTTGTGTCTTGGAATGGGATCATCTGCCATGTACCATTGAATTTTTGAAATACTAAACATCTCTTATACTTTTTTGGAGCCACAGCCAAGATCCTCCAAGTCTCGGTGGAGAACTTATACATAGACTTTTGAGCAATGCTGGAACTAGTAAGGCTATCCCAACTCCTCAGCATAAACCCAGTGTGTTTTGTGCTATGCAATGGACATGTTATGGCTTCCAGCTGACAAAGAGTAGACCTGCACTGTTTCACCTTCATTGTCAACTTGACTAGGAGATCTAGGCATCACCCTGGTGTGTCTGTGTGTATGTTTTCAGAGGGTATTCACTGAGGGAGGGTGGCCCACCTTGAATATGAGTGACCATGACACATGGGTCAGACAGAACAAACCCAGCAGAGCCCCAATCTCCTACCCTGCCTCCTGGCAGCCGCCATGTGAGCTAAGGTCTTCTATCAGAGTCTGCTGCTATGGCGGACTGAGTGATCTAAACCCAGGAGGCCGGGTTAATTCTTTCTCCTTTAAGATAATTACGTCATACATTTGATCACAGTGATGCTGAAAGCTGAGGCTATATCTCAAGGAAACAGAGAAAAGCAACAGATTAACACTCAGAGACTTTTAAAGATGATTTCTTATGAAAGTCAATTGTAGGGTTTTTTTTTTTAAGTTTTTCACATGAATACAATGCATTCGGTCACTCTACTCCTCTCTACTGCCTCCACTCCACTTTAAAAAAAAATAAAATTGCAGCCATTCCTGATGTGATCTGATAGACTAAGATCAGAAGGAAGGAGAGGAGGACCTCCCCTATCAGTGGACGTGGGGAGGAGCATGCATGCAGAAAAGGGAGGTAGGGTGAGATTGGGAGGGGAGTAGGGAGGGGCTTATGGGGGATACAAAATGAATAAAGTGTAATTAATAATAATAATAATAAAGAGGAAAAAATAAAATTAAAAGCTGAGTCTTTTAAAGGTTAGTTGGACATATCTCTCTAATATGACTTAAAAAAGCGCTTGGAGATAGTTCAGTCAGTTAAGTATTTGCCTTGCAAGCTTGAGGACCTGAATTTGATCCTCCAGAACCCACATTAAATGAAGGAGAAGGAGAAGAAGGAGGAGGAGGAGGAGAAGGAGGAGGAGGAGGAGGAGGAGAAGTCTGGGCATGATGGCATTTTCTTGCAATTGTAGGGCTGAGGAAGTGGAAATAGGCTGATCTCTAGGGCCTGCTGACCAGCCAGTCTACTTGGAGAATTGCAAGCCAGTGAGAAATCCTTCCTCAAAAATTTATGGATGAAGCCTGGGGAACATTACCTGAAGCTGTATTTGGCCTCCACATGCATATTCAGACTTGTGTATGTGCAAAACACACATACACACAAACAGAGGTGGGGGGAATTATCAAGGAGAGGTGAGGAAACCATTCCATTGGACCTGAGATGGTCACGTGCGTGCAAGTCATTCTGGCTCGCTATTCTTGTTGTTTTCAGCAGACACCTCCTGTTTTGCTTGGTTACGTTTCCTGTTTTGCTTGGCTATGTTTACTTGGAAAGTCCCTTGTGGTTTGCCTATATAAGTGATTTACTCTGTAATAAAGATGGCATCTTGATCAGAGCACTGTCTTGGTGTCACTTCTTTGTGTTCTCTGTCTCTTTTAATTCCCAGACCCTTGTGCAGGCGGTTACAGGCGACTACAGAGAGGAAGAGAGAGAAATATATATAATAAATATGGAGCACTGATATTTTAAAAACCATCTTAAAACACTAATGAAGGGCTTTGTGAACAACTTAAGGGTTTGTGGGTTTGGGGGGGGCTTTTTTGTTGTTTGTTTGTTTGTTTGTTTGTTTTTTCAGACAGGGTTTCTCTATGTAGTCCTAGCTACCTTGGAACTCACTATGTAGACCAGGCTAGCCTGGAACTTATAGAAATCCACCTGACTCTGCCTTTCTAGTGCTGGGATTGAAGAGTACACCACTATACCCAGATAACTGTGTATAACATTTAGTCCAAATCTAGATGAGATAAATCTTTGGTTATGAAGTCCAAAATTGGCTAGTGAAATAAAACCTTTAAAAGAACAATAATTATTAATAAAATTTGAATACCTAAAACTTCCAGGAATGACCTCTAACCTTCCTTTTTTGCCTACAGGAGCAGATTGCCTCATCCTTGGATGAAAGTAATGCTGCTGTCAACCAAGTACAGGGATTCAAGGTTCGGGGGGGGAGGGGATGTTCACAGAGGCACATCCCCTTGGACACATCCCTGTGGTCAGTCCAGGGAGAGACAAAGAGTCCTGTCCACAGTCCTCTGAGAGAGTGAAAGAAACACCTAGGCAAAACAAAATATATATATTATTTTTCCCCTTAGCTGTTAGTTAGTGAGAGCTGCATCACCTGGGGCTTTAGAAGACTCCTTCTTCCCACTGTAACTGAATGAAAATGGAAGAACTACAGAAAGAGACAGGGAGGAAAAGAAAGATGTAGCGACTGACTGGAGATCCCTGAAGGCTTTTCCACTCTTTGGAAGTTCGATTCATGAAACAAAACAAAACCAACAGAAATGGTCTTCCTTTTTGCTCTGTGATACTTTGATGTGTGCCTCCTGCACCAACAACAAAAAGATATCTGGGGAATAAATGCCTGGGTAGCAGGAAAAGCCCTAGACTTCAGGATGGAAGTGACCTCAGTGCAGTTCGCTTCATCTCCAGCACCGCTTAGTTTCCTTATTTAAAAAAAGATGCTACTGAAGGATGTAGCTCAGCGGTGGGGCCCTGGACCAGCATGCATAAGGTCTCAGGTTTAAAACCTGGTAACTACAGAAAAATCAAACTTGAATCCTGCTATGAAGGGGAAATAAAATAGACATTGGAAGTGGAGGGAGGGAGGGAGCTGAATGAGAGAGGGGGCAGAAAGGGGAATGGGTGGAGATCAGGTGTAGGGAGAGTAGGGATGGGGTGAGAGGGCTGGGAAAAAGAAGGGAAGTTGGTATTGGGGCATCTCTGGGACAAGCTGGGTATCTGGGATGGGGGAGGCTACTGAGAATATATGGGGGTGCCCCTAGCTCAGACTTCTAGCAGCTGGGGATACTGAGACTGAAGTGGCCACATTCTGTAGCCATTCAGGACTTCCAGTGGAGGGAGGGGCACACCAAGCCACTCACAAAACCCTCAACCTAAAATTTGTCCTTCCTACAAGATGTACAGGGATAAAAGGTAGAGCAGAGATTGGGAGAACAGCATGGTCAATCAATGACTGGCCCAACTTGAGACCCATCCCAGAGGAGAGACCAAACCCCTGACACTATTAATGATACTCTTCTGTCCTTGCAGACAGGAACCTAGCATAACTGTCATCGGAGAGGCTTTATCCAGCAGATGATGGAAACAGATGCAGAGACCCACAGCCAAACATTATACAGAACTCAGGGATTCTTGTGGGAGAATTGAAGGAGTTTGAGGGGTCAAGGTCACCACAAGAAGACCTACATAGCCAACTAATCTAGGTCCATGGGGGCTCATAGACACTGAACTACCAACCAAAGAACATGCATGGACCAGTCCTAGGCCCCCTCTACATATGAAGTTGATGGGCTGCTTGGTTCTCAAGTGGGTCCCATAACAACTGGAGTGTTAGATTTGGACTCTGTTGCCTCCCTCTGGATCCCTCTTCCCTAACAGGGATGCCTTGTCTTGCCTCGGTGCCAGGGTGGGTTGGAACCTGGGGTAGGAGGAAAGGGGTATGAAGAAAGCAGGTGGGAGGGTGGGACCTGGAGGAGAGGAGGGAGTAGGTTGTGGTTGGGATGTAAAATAAGCAAATAAATAAGTTAATGAAAAACAAAAACAAAACTAGATCATGAAGAAGGGAGATGGTAGCAGTCTGTTTAATGAATCACTGGGAGGCCTGAGATACCCCACAGAAAGCACTTGGTTGGACACACTTCATGCATGAAGGTTGGTTTCTCGCTCCCCCGCCCCTTGCCCAATTCTTTCCCTCCTGGTGCCAAGTACCTGGCTCTTCAGAGAGTCCATGCCATGGTGCATAGTAATGGCACCAGTGAGTCTCTCGCCAGCTGGCAGAGGGCAACCACAAACAGTGATGCAACTCCAGCCACAGTTTGATATTAAAAATAAAATTTCAGAGGAAAGCACCAGAAAGTCGCTTTACAGAATTGTTGTGTTTACCCTCTCTTCCTATACAGCCTCCCATTGGTGGATGTTTAGGGCGTGGGGACCACCAAATGGTGAAGGCCATTGCCACCCACCCCCTCTCCTCTAACCATTAACCAGCAGAAACGCTGGCAAACAAGATTTAGTGGGCAGTCTCCCCGAAGCCTTACTGTACATGTGCTAGGATCCTGCACAGTAAAAGCAGCACCAGCAGGACCAGCCTGAGCCCACCTGCAGAGGTGAGTCATCCCATGGGAGCACACTGCGCCTCCTGCTTCCCACTTCTGCATCTTCTCCAGAATACAGCCACGCCCACAGCTTGGTTATTTGAGTGTTTTTTTTTTTTTGTTTTGTTTTGTTTTGTTTTTTTTAAACAGCTGAACATAGGGGCTTCCAGCTGTGGCATGAGCCAACCATGTGGGAGACTTCCTGGATCTCCGATTCTGTGGGTCACCCCCTGGGGGTTGATCTCCCCTGGGCTCCAGCCTTGGGGGACCCTGTTACTGAGAGCTGTGGCTATAGTTTATTGCCAGCTGTGGCCTCATGGAGCAGCATTAGCATCCAAGAATGGGAGGGAATCTCAGAGCTGAAATGAGTAAGTGCCAGGCAACACCACAGGGTGGGGTTAGGGTGCGCAGCTGGTACAAGCAGGGACACTCTAAAGGGTGCCTTGCACCCCTCTGTCATAGCTCCTCACTTGGTACCCTGGAGTGGGGATGTTGCAGCCAGGAGAAGGACCTGCAGTAATTGTCTGCAGTATACCAAGAACTATGATGCCTAAATCCCCTCCTGATCCACATCACTTTAGAACTGAGTGGCGGCAAGGAGGATATTAGTCAGAATAAACACATGGCCCCTTAGTCTTTTTTGCAGGCTGGCCTTAAAGAGCCACCTTGAGTTTCAGTAGAGATAGGCAGCGTGGCTCTTAGGGTGTGCATCTAGTCCCGCTTTGAAGTTCTGCCTCATCCAGCTCAGTCTTCCTGTCTCTGCAATGAGTTGCAGGATAACTCCTGAAGTGAGGCTTGTGAGGCAGGGGGTCTGAATCTCCACCCTGCAGATTTGACACAGAAAGAGTGAGGCATAGTGTCGCACCCAAAAACAGCAGGAAGAAGGAGGCCCGTCCTGCTGTTGACTGGGATCCTTCCTTCCTCCAAAGGGGATTCATAGACAGGTATAGCCCGGCACAGAAACCAAGATGCCTCTCTGTAGAAGATGAGGACAGAGACGGAGAAAAGGGAAAAAAGAAAGGCTTCCTGGAGGCAGAGACCAAACACCAACATCTCAAAGGCCAAGAGGAAATGAGCTAGGCGAGAAAAGTAAGGGAAGGGCTGACAGAGTGGAGGGGCAGGTCAGGGTAGGGCCATCTTTATCTCCAGGTCTCGGGCCAGGACAGAGTTCAGCAAACACTGGGGGCATTGGAAGGGGCACACTGTAGTGACCTGCCCTGCCTTCCCTGCCATGCCCTGGCCTGCCCTAACCCCTAAACTGGCCTGCAACAAGGTAGCAATCTGGTGTGTGCCAGGAGGGACCTGTGACTCCCAGAGAGCTGCAGAGAGATGGCAAGCAGTCCAACTTAAAACTGAAGGGCTGGGTCGTGAGCACCCCCAGTTCACATCAGTGAGGGTGACCTCTTGAGGGCACCGAGGATCCTCTGAAAACTCAACTTCTGCACAGTGGTGTCCTATACGCGTCCCAGCCACAGATGCTATCTTTCTGGATTGGGTAACCTCCCAAAATACTGACTTTAGGTTGGATCCATGATTTGTTTTTTGTTGTTGTTTGAGAACTTCACACATGGATATGTGTTCTGATCAAATCCACTCCCCACTGGCTCCCCTCCAAATTCTCCCGTACTTTCTACCATATCCTTCCCAACTTCATGTGTGATTTTTTTTTTTTTTTTTAATACTGAGTCCAGATAGTGCTGCTGGCGTGTGCACGATGTAGAGAAATCCTGAAAGCTTCTTTCAGGAGCGACATTCCTGGAGAGATCTGATCCTCCCTCTCCTAGATGCTATCAATGGAAAACCTACAACAGTTGTTCTGCTAAAGAAACATAGCCATTTTCATGATTTCCTTGTTTTTAATTGCTGAGTAGCATTCCATTATGTAAATGTACCACAATTTCTGTGTTCATTCCTCAGTTGAGGGACATCGGGCTGTTTTCAGATTCTGGTTATGATGATTAAAGCTGCTACAAACGTGGTTGAGCAAATGTCCTTGTTGTATACTTGAGCATATTTTGGATATATGCCTAGGCGTGGATATATATATATATATATATATGTGTGTATATATATATATATATATATATATATATATATATATATATATCTCCACTCCTAGTATATATACACACACACACATGCCTAGGAGTGGATCTTGAGGTAGCACTATTCCTAGTTGTCTGAGAAAGCACCAGATTGATTTCCAAAGTGGTTGTACAAGTTTACATTCCCATCAGCAATGGAGGAAGGTTCCCCTTTCGCCACATCCTGTCCAGCATGTATTGTCACTTGAGTTTTTTATTTTAGCCATCCTGATCGGTGTAAGGTGAAATCTCAAGGTCATTTTGATTTTCATTTTTCTGATGACTAAGGACGTTGAGCATTTCTTTAAGTGTTTTTCTGCGATTCGATATTCCTCTGTTGAGAATTCTCACGAAAATTACAGGTAAATGGTAGGAACTAGAAAAGATCATCCTGAGGTATCCCAGAAGCAGAAAGACACACCTAGTATATACTCACTTATAAGTGGATATTAGACACATAATATAGGATAAACACACTACAATCTGTACACCTAAAGAAGCTAAGCAAGAAGGAGGACCCTGGGTAAGATGATCAATCCTCATTCAGAAAGACAAATGGAATGGACATCAGAAGAGGGAAAAAACAGGGAATAAAACAGAAGCCTACCACAGAGGGCCTCTGAAAGACTCTATCCTGCAGGGTATCAAAGCAGATGCTGAGACTCATAGCCAACTTTGAACAGAGTGCAGGGAATCTTATGAAAGAATGGGGAGGTAGAAAGACCTGGAGTGGACAGGAGTTCCACAAGGAGAGCAACAGAACCAAAAATATCTGGGCACAGTGATCTTTTCTGAAACTGATACTCAACCAAGGACCATTCATGGAGATAACCTAGCCTGCACAGAAGTAGCCCATGGCAGATCAGTCTCCAAGTGGGTTCCCTAGTAATAGGAACAGAGACTCTCTCTGACATGAACTCGGTGGTTGACTCTTTGATCACCTCCCCGTGGGTCGGGGAAGCCTTACCAGGCCACAGAGGAAGACAATGCAGCCAGTCCTGATGAGACCTGATAGGCTAGGGTCAAAGAGAAGAGGAGGAGGACCTCCCCATTAGTGGACTTGGGGAGGGGCATGGGGCTACAGCTGAGATACATAAAAAGAAACATAATAACAAACTGCCTCCTAGAATCTTATGTTTTGCCCATAGATTAGTGAGACTCTCAAGCCCTTTTTTGCAGTAGACAGTGGTTGTCAGAGGCTGTCAACAACACAATATCAAGACTTTTAAAAAATCACACGGAATAGAAAAAGGTGGATTTGCAAAGTAAAATTCCAGTGACACTCAGCTTGACACTCTGCCCTTTAGCTGGTATTTTTATCATTCCATCAGCTCCTACTTGATGTCCGCTGACTTTTCCTGCTGGTCTGGAATCCAAAGGAAGCCCATTTTATAGAGTTTAGTACCAAGAACTGTGTGTGGCTTAGCATGCCCTCAGTTTTGAAAGAGAGCTTGGCCAGATATAGATCCTCAGTTGAACATCTTTGGTTGTTCATTTTTGTTTTGTTTTTTCTTGCATACTGTGTATCAGCTGCGTGGGTACTTAATCTGTCTAAGGTTTTGGCCGCCGACAGTCTTGAGTTAATAAAGTCTATTTTAAGGAGTTTTTGATGAAACTTACATGAGAATATAGGCAAAATGCTTGGGGATGTGCTAGGCACTTAGCAACTGCACTGGTAAAACACATCTTCAGATGAAGACCCTGAAGTCCAGGGCTCTGGGGTAATTGCCTGGGTCAACAGCCAATGTGAAGGAAAGAATGGACACAAAGTGGGGTCTTGGTCTGCCTCCCACAGCACCATGTGCCCCTGACTCTGTGACTGCCATGCAGTCTAACAAGCACTCTTGATTTTGCAGGGCCTAGTCAATTAGAACAATGCCAGTCGTCCTGTACACCTGTCTCCTCTGGCTCTCCATCAGTGGCCTCAGTACTGCCAAAAACCACAACTCCTTCACTGATGAGAGTTCAAGGAGCCCTCACCGAGGCCTGGCTCCCATCAATACTGACTTTGCCTTCAACTTATATAATCGCCTAGTGAACTTGAATCCCAACAAGAATATCTTAGTCTCCCCCGTGAGCATCTCCATGGCCTTGGCCATGCTGTCCCTTGGACCTGGGGACCAAACAGGGACCAGGCTTCTCCAGGGCCTGGGCTTCAACTTTACAGAGGCATCTGAAGCTGAAATCCATCAGGACTTCCAGCACCTCAGTCGCCTTCTCAGTCAGTCTGACATGAGCTCGAGTATGAGCTTGGGCAACATCATGTTTTTCGACCAGAACCTGAAGCTGGAAGACTCCTTCTTAGCAGCCATCAAACACTATTATGGGTCAGAGGCCTTTGCCATCGATTTCAAGAACTGGACTCAAGCCAGCCAGCAGATCAACACGTATGTCGAGAGGAAGACACAGGGAAAAATTATGCAAGTGTTCTCAGACCCGAGTGATCTGGCCCCCTTCATGCTGCTCAACTACATCTTCTTCAAAGGTACTGCTTCCCTCTCCTTCCCATCCTAATGAAGCTCAGCCCTATCACAGATCTCTCTAGAGCCTACAAAGCCATCCGACAAGCAATGGCATAGAGCTCACTGCCATCTCTGAACCCTTACAAATGCCAGTCATTACCAGGTTGGAGCTAAGATAACCACCGTGGTGTTCTTGAACACTTCCTAAAAGATTTGTTAAAATTATAGATTCTAGAACTCATGGCAAACCTCCTGAAACAAAACATCTTCAAGGAGAGCCCAGAATGTGTCACTGTGTGCTCCTCCACCATCATAATGTCACTTGTATCATCAGTGGGGTTTGGAGACACCACATCCCTGAGAATCAAATCTGTGCTTCTTGTAGAACACAGATTCTCGGGTGGAAGGGATGCTCCCACCTTCCCAGGGACATCCGGCAACTTTAGGAGCAATTTTTACATCAGAGCTAGGGGTGAGGTGGATGAGCCATCAGTATCCAATAAGTAGAGGCCAAGAAGGCTGCTGGACATGAGACTCACAATGCTGCTACTCACGATGTACACTCACACGAATACACACAACACACAGAACACACATACTCACACATACAAACATACATAGACAGAGAACACACGCAAACACACAAGCATATACACAAGCACACATAAGCCACCTGGTGCCATCATCCTTAAACATGTCAAGGTTGAAAGCCTTGGTCTAGAACCCCCTACTTTTTCTGTCTCCTTTAGCCTCATGTCTCAGCACTTTTTCTTCTCTAAGATCTCAGCATACAGCATGTATACACACATATACGCAGCAGGCACAAATACACAAACACACACGTTGCACACATACACACAAAACCACAAACAGCACACACACAAACATACACAGCACACACACATACAAAAACATAACACACAAACATACACAAATGTACAAACACATACACGTATGCAAATATACAAATACACAGACACATACAAACAGCTGACTATAGCAAATTCCTCTCCTGCCCTTGAGCTGTGTGAACCTCCTGACAGTGTTGAGACAGGTCACTTGAATTGGTGGCAGTCTGCATTTGTTGTCTGATGGCTGTGGAAGTCTGAAAACAATTGGTCACACTGCTTGGGCCTAGCTCCTGAAGGAAGCGGCTGAGGGGGATGGTTACTGCAATCAGAGGAGCTTTGACTCAGTCTAAGGAGCAACATTCCGTCTGTCAAAACTGAGCAGTGCCACAGCGAGTAGACAGGCTGGATGGTGACCCCCATCAGCTGAGGGTGAAGGAGAACTGTGAGCCTGAAAGCCCTGTACCCTGACCCTATGCGCAGAAAGGCTCGTGGTCTGGAATGCCCTCACTTCAAGTAGCAGGGAGGTACGAGCCCTCCTCCAGGAACTGGCCAGACTGTCAAGAGATGGTTCATTTCCTCAAAGCCAGCTTCCTCCCTCTTCTCACCAGAGACCAGGATGAGTTGATGCTCTGCTGCCTCAGAAGAGGGTGTCCAAGATTCACTCTAATTCCCCGTCTATAAACCCAATGATCGATATCCACCTCATCTCTTCCTGTCTCCCACATCTTTCCAGGCATGTGGGAATTTCCCTTCAGCCCAGAAAATACCAGAGAGGAGGACTTCTATGTGAACGAGACCACCACTGTGAAGGTGCCCATGATGGTCCAATCAGGCCTTATGAGTTACCTTCATGATTCGGTGATCCCCTGCCAGCTGGTACTGATGGACTTTGTGGGAAATGGAACTATCTTCTTCATCCTTCCAGACCAGGATCAGATGGAGACTGTCACTGCTGCACTTAGTCGAGATACAATTAAGAGGTGGGACATGCTTCTGACCAAAAGGTAAGCCCTCTGGCTGGCCTGTAGCTCTCTGTAAAGCCTATGTTTCTGGAAAATGAGGCAGGTAGACTTCCTTCTCTCCAAAAAGCACCATCCCCCCACCCCCACCCCAAGGCCTTATTTTTCCCCATAGGCTGTGAGGTTCTTTAACCTGGAAGTTAGACTTATTATGCCTCTATCACAGAGCTAACCTGGGACATACCACAAGCCCAGTTCCCCTTTCTTGTGTATTTCATAGCCGTAGCCATCTTGTACATTATGATTTTATATCACTTTCTTACAGGGAGTTCACCAAACACTAAAGCTCCCCACTTTTCTATTTTTTTAAGCTGGCCTCACTGTAGATCCTTGGGGTCTCTGTAAAGTACAATGCAAATGACCTTTACATCATGGGAAACTGGCCGTATTGAAAAGAATCATAGAGAAACAATATCCTGCAAATCCATGTCTAGCATCTGAGCCTCTCGGTGGCCACACTCAGGCTCCAACAGCTTTGGAATATTAGCAAAAGGGTCAGGACTTGGTTATTGGGGCACAGAGTCATCTGTATAGCTGGGCCAGGACTAGTGCTCCTGGCCAGGAATTGTCTCCACTACTTTTTGCTTTAGAGACCATAAGGACTGATCAGTGATCCAGCTATATCACATACATAATCAGTTTAAAGGAATCATCCAGGAAAAAAAAATGAATTTAGGTAATTCAAAGACCCAGAGAAAAAGCTTTCCATATGAGAAAGAGATAGCTTCTGCCCTTTACCCTGCCCTTCATCCCTAGAGAGTGAGTCAAGCTGGTGGTACAATTACCGATGGGATCACACAAAGAAAGGAGCGTCTGTCTGGGAAAGGATGGGCTGCTAAATCTGCTGCCAGGCATAGCCTTGGACCCTCTAACTTCTGCTTCGCCCTGAGCAGGCAGGTGAACTTACACATCCCCAAATTCTCCATGTCTGACACCCATGACCTTAAAGAAGTGCTTGCAGAAGTGGGCATTGTAGACTTGTTCACCGGCCAATCAAATTTCTCAGGCCACACCCAGCATGACTCCAAGGCATCAAAGGTAAGTGTCTTGGGAGCCCTGTCCCCAAAATCTACGCTAAAAAAAATTCTTAACAGTAAGTAAGGCAGCCCATTTGTGAATGGTCCCATAGGTCCCAAGCTGAAAACCCTGGGTCTCAGCCCCTTTAACCACAGTTCGGTCAACAAAGACTCAGCAAGAAAATAACCCCACAGAAAGCTTATGAAAAGGGACACAGCCCAGGCAGCTAGCCATCCCATGAAGCCTTGCAGAGAAGGGACCCTGGAAAACATGGTCATCATGGCAAAAGTTAGAAAAGCCCTGGCAAAAAGAAATGGAGGATGCAGGGAAGGTCTTCTTAACACCACACAGAGGTTTCTACTCAGTTCCATGCCTTAGCCTTCAACTTGGTGTTCTCAACTCATAACTTCATTCGGAACGTTGTGATTGATTACCTACTATGTGCTCAAGCCTGTGCTAGGATATGAATGTTTCCATTACCCAGATGTGGACACTGTAAGGCACAAAGTTTCACGAAAGCCTCACGTGGTGACACGTGAGTTCAATAAATGTGCTGTGTGGATAGAGAAAGTCATTAAGGAGGCTTGGCCGCACAAAGCCAATTACCATTAATTAATCCATTTACCATTAATTAATTAATTAAATTTTGAGAAATCAGAAACGGGAAATTTTTCAGTACAGTTGACTAGAAGGGCTGAAGGAGTGACCGTTCTCAGCCTTAAAGGACACCAACCTCTGACTGGAGCTTCAAGTTCTTATAGGGGAGGTAGGCATTCTCCCAACTGCTCAGAGGGAGCCTTAGTTCAGGAAGGGCAAAGAGCTCCACACTGGGCATGGAGTTAGCAAAAACAATGACAGCAGCAAAAACAGTTGAATATTTAACCTTGGCTCTGTCAACTAAAAATCTCAAATCCTCAAGACCCACCCCCTGCAGAGGGCCTAACCAGCTCAGCCTCTGCCTGGCTGCAGGAGCTATCGAAAGGACACTCAGAGCCCTTCGGACTTGCTGTGAAATGGGGCTGGAGACACACACACAAGGGGAACAGGATTACACTGACTGTCACCTGTTGTTTTGTTACCATGGTGGGATCCGACCTAGGCTTTCTAAACCAGCTGCCAACCACTTAGCTGTTTCCAGAATCCCATCTACATTTAATCATTAAAGGAAGCATACCAACAGCCACCGACTTGCATTTCTGCCTCAGCCGGGGCTCTCCTAGGCTGAACCAAGCACTCTCTATAGCTTCAGCTCTGCTGTTTCCAGAACAGAGTAGACAGCGTGAGATCTCTGGAAGCCTGGGGTCTGGTAAGAAGAGCCCAAGGTGGACCACGAGATCCAGGTTCTCAGAGCTCTGTATGGTAGGTGCAGCCTGCCACTCCAAGAGAGGAAGTTAGGTGCTGTCTGGAGTCTGGAGCTTAGACACGGAGTAAACGTGCGACATTTGGGGCACCTTGGCCGTTTCACCCTCCACGGAGCAGAGGGTGAGCCGTCCATGCTGAGGAGATGCGGACAGTTCCTCCTCGTGACAAGGGCTTATTTTCTCCCTTTGGCCTGTTTCTCACAGGTGATCCACAAGGCCATGCTGCACCTGGATGAGAATGGTGTAGAGCCTGTTGCCACCAAAAGGGCTTCCCGTTTCGGGAGGTCAGAGGAACTCAACATCAACTTCAACAGGCCCTTTATCATGCTGATCTATGACGATTTTACGTGGAGCAGCATGTTGATGGGCCAAATCATGAAGCCAGCCTAAGAGTGTGTCGGGAGAAGCCATGGTGCCGTTGGACTTTGGGGGCACAGAAACCTTTCACCAATCTTCTCCCCAGTCCACCCAGGTGTTCCTACTTTTAGTTATCTTGTAATGCGTAGCTGTGGTTGCTACTCTGGAGGCAAGTCACTGAAGAGGGAGCACGAAGAAAGAGGTAGCCATTATTAAAGGATGTTTTTGCAACTCTGGAGTGTCTAGGTAGTTGCATCCTGATGAGGGCTCCCCTCTTGATTTATATGTAGGCGGTGCCTTGCCACTGTCCCAACATGGAGGAAAGGGCAGAGATAGTTCTCTAGGGTCTTTCTTAAGGGTACTAATCCTATTCATGGGGGTTCCACCCCTACAAGTTCATCACCTCCCAAGAAACCTCTAACGCGAGGTTTCAAATACATCTGGGACATTCAGTCCATAACAGGTAGGCCTTCCACAAGTGGGGCGGCTGCAGCCAACAAAACCAGCCCCCTCTCTGATGAGAACAGGAACACAGGGACCTCTTGGATCAGTCACAGGTCCAGAGTACAGTCTGTACAGGGAGGCATGTGGCTTCAGAGGGAGTCTGGCCTGAGACAGAGCCCAGCCAGGATCACAGAGCGGTCCCAAGAGGAAACTAGAATGCTCTAGGAGGGTGGGGGAGAGGGGCTGCCGACTTGTGCACACACAGTGGAAGGCCTGTGAGCATGAGTGGCACAAAGTTATCAGAGAAGGAAGCAGCCGAAGTGCAGGATGTTCTACCACTTGTTGGTTCTCCATTCTTACACACACTGATGCGAAGCCTCAGGGCTTGGTCAGTCAGCTATGCTGAGGCAGTTGCTCCCCTCCTACCCAGAGTGCTCCCATGTCGGCCATGAGCAGGACAGTTTCTCTTCCACTGTGGCTGTGGGTTTGGTTTTGTTTTCTTTTTTTTTTTTTTCAAAGAACAATCAAACCAAGTTCATAAATTTCCTTAAATACACTGTGTGTGTGTGTGTTGCATGTGTAATATAGTTTCAGGATATACATTCTTTTATTAATGGAAATTTAGCAAGAATCAAAAGCACAGCCTGAGATCAATTGAGGGGGTAAATACTCTCCTAAGCCTTGTGCTGTTTGGGAGTCAATGGAAAGGTGTAATTGGCACTATAGATACTATAGGAAAGGTGTAATTCTTATCATCCTTGATCCAGTTGCACATGAATCAAAGACTTAAGACAAACATTGAAATCATCAAATCATGAAATATATATTTTTAAGACAATCTCAAAAGGGGGAAGTATATTTAAAATCCAGAATCACTAAAGAAAAGCCTATTTCACCGAAGTACATAAACAAAGTTACCTGGGTTTAAGAGACAAATGAGGGAGGGACAAAAACATGAAAGTTAATTTTTCCACCAAGTCACTTACTAATTTAAAAAGCTGGGAGACGTTTGGGTAGGCTGGGGACAGTGCTGGCTGACTGAATATTATTTTCTTATGTACCTTTCCAGGCTACTATAAAAACCAGTACTGTACAAGCAAAACTCTGTGATCCAGGCTTCCATGTGACATTATTCTCTGAAATATGAGCCCCAAGAAAGGGTGGATGTAAAAGACAGAAAAACACTTGGAAAACATCCTAGTATTGTTGGGAAGTTGGGATAGGTGGGCGATGGAGCTAAGTTGGTGGAAACAGGTCACCTGGAGGTGCGTGAATGGGTGCCACACCATCCCCTGGCCACTTCCTCTCTTCCGTTTCTGTGTTTCCTCCCCACCAGAAGGTAAGCAGCCTCTTCCTTCCCAGGTTCCTCCCAGCGTAGTGTTCAACCTCACGACAGCTCCCTACTGGGTGGTTTCAAGGATCGTGGTTTGAACTGCCTGAGTTCTGAATAGAATAAACCTTCCTTTCTCCCTTAAGCCGTTCCTGGCAAGCAGCTGGTTCCAGCAGTGAGGAAGGCTAAGTGGCTGGGTGTCTTCTCTCACTTGCTTTTTGTCAAAACTTGAAGGTTATGTAGTTTTCTCTAAGAGGTTAGGGGGAGGAGGGCTGGCAACTTCTGGACACGCAGTGAAAGAACTGACAGACAAGCCCAACAAGCTGAACAAATCCACAAGAGAAACACAAAGAACTTCTGGGCATGGACTCTAAACCAGAGAAGAAGGACAACTGAAAAGATCTGAATGAGTGGATATTATCAATACAATGTAATATCCCTATAGACTATCTGGGTTTGACCATTATAAGGTTGTGATGTACAGTAAGGAGTTGAATGAGGGTATAAATAGACACATTATTTTTTTGGCAAAGTTTGGCAAATTCAAGGATGCTTATGAATAGAAAGCTAAAAACTAGAAGTTGTGAAAAATATGTATCATAAAGAAAGATATTTTTAAAGTTCTGGGAGTGAAGGAGGGAGGTGATAACATTTTTCAGAAAGAAAAAAAAAAAAAAGACCCTTCAAAAATGAAGACACGGGGCCTGGAGAGATAAATCAGCTGTTAGGAGCACCAACCTGCCAGTCCCAGGGGATAAAGCGCCCTCTTCTGGACTCTGTGGGCACTGCATGTACACGGTGCACAGACATGCAGGCAAAATAGCCATACACATAAAATGCAAGCAAATATATAAATGACAGCAAGAATTTTAGAAGACAAAAGGTAAAACATACTATGTTTATTAATATGTTCTTAAAGCAGTTATCCAGGCATAAAGATCATTCCAGGTGGGAATTTGGACTCATATGAAAGAATGAAAAGCACCAGAAAGGTAAATATGTGGGCAAAGGTGAAAGATATTTCAAAGATATTTTTAAACCATAAGTTATTGTAACTGAAATAACAACAACACAATTTGGCATGCAAATTATCAGTTTATTGCTCATCAGCTCTAAGTCCTTCCGTCATCATTTCACTGAAAATCCAAGTCTGGATCTTTTTAATGTTTCCACTTCTCACATTGAGCACGATATTGAACTTTTATCAGTAGAGGGCGCTAGAGAGACACTGTGGAATGAAGAGGCTTCATTTCCCTGGTTCAGGCCAAACAAGTGAGACAGGATGGTAATTAGATACAGGCAGACAGGCTTGGATAGATGACAATAGATAGGGACATATAATATAGTCAGAAGGATGGGTACATGACTAGATAGAAGCACACAGATGTTGAACATATACACCCTAAAAAATGATAGTTGAAAAATGCTTTCTTAACTCGGTTGCCTGCTCTTTGATCACTTCCCCCTGGCGATGCAGCCAGAGGAAGAGGATCCAGGAAGTCCTCATGAGACTTGATAAGCGAGGGTTAGTTTGCAAGGGAGGAGGACTCCCCCTTCCAGTGGACTAAAGGAAGGAGATAGGGTTGAAGAGGGAGGGAGAGTGAAACCTGGAGATGAGGAAAGGGGCTACAATCAGGGTATAAAAGGAATAAATTATAAAAATAAATGAATAAGTAAATAAATAAATGTATGTATGTTTAGAAAAGAAAGAAAAATACTTTCATAACTATACCTCTCAAATGCCCATGTAGAAATACATACACACCGGATTCTTAAAGCCGGAGTCTATCTTATATAAGAAAACATTAAATTAATATTTATAAAAACAAAAATTAAGAAAATACTCATTATATTCACTGTTATACCTAGGATTATTTATCAAATGATGTGATTAATTAAAGAAAAAAGTGGAAGAAGAAAAAAACAGAATAAAACTATCTGCATTTTCATGATGTGCTCATATGCCTGCATTGCTAAACAGAAAAAAAGGATACCAGCACTGAGCTGGCGGAGTACATCAGTCCTCCTGCAGACCAAGCAGGGCCAAACCTGAGAGCAGAGAGCCTGGAAACCCCAATCCGATCCCTGCCGATGTGACTTTCTTGAGAGTGAGTGCGCCCTTGAGTGTCTACAGAACCCCAGATCCAGGGTCCTTCTAAAATAGAAGCCAGGCATCGGACCCCTCCCTCCCACATAACCACTGTGGGAAACAGAGGATCCCTTGGAACACTGAAGCCCCTGCTCTGCGGGTCCTGAACCACAGCACCATCCTCGCAGGGTGCCAGGTCTGCTAGCCACCATACCGGCTCCACAGGGTCACCCAGCCACTGACTGAACGGCCCGTCCAAACCCTCAGAGACAGATAATTCACTATATACCCACCAAAGCCCAGCAAGCCCACTATACAAGCTAGGCACACCAAGTGCTGAGCCTCCAGGCCTGAAGAGCACAGTGGAGGGCACCCAGGACCTCCCAGAAGGCATCTGAACCAGCATCCCAGTCTCCAGCTGCAGCTGGTCTTCCTAACCTGGCGGCTGCAGCAGCACTGAGCTAGCGAAGCACGTCAGTCCTCCTTCATAAGACCAAGCGGGGCCAAACCAGAGAGCAGAGAGCCCGGATACCCCAATCCTTGCCGATGTGACCTGCTTGAAAGTGAGTGCACCCCTGAGTGTCTGCAGAGCCCCAAACCCAGGGTCCTTCTAAACTAGAAGCCAGGCATCGGACCCCTCCCTCCCACATACCCACTGTGGGAAACAGAGGGTCACTTGGGACATTGAATCCCCTGCTCTGTGGGTCCAACTGAGGATTTAAGGCAGTTAATGCCGGAAATTGCACAGTGACCATCACCAGCGCCTGCTAAATATACAGTGCATGCACAAATAACCACCTAGAAGTCTGCAAGGCAGAGCTCCTCCCACACACTCAAGGGCTCAACATTCTCTATCACTCTGTCCCTCGAGACACACTTCCACACACACTTCCACACACACACACACACACACACACACACACACACAGCCTGCATTTGCCCTTCTGCGCCCGCGTCCTTTCCTCCCACAAGTACAGATAGTGCACCAACGCACACGCTGAGGCCATGGGACCTCTCTCAGCTTCCTGAAGAACTCTCCAGATGCCAGAGAGAGACAGTACCAGTCTGAACTGCAGAATCCAGAAACAAACAGGGAAGGTTTCAGATAAGCCAATGGCTGGGGTATGCAAAAAAAACCACATCCAACATAAATCAGGACAGCATGACTTCACCAGCAACCCCCAAAATTGATGGATACTCCAATTCATGAGAAGCACAGGAAAATGACTTTAAAGCTATGCTTACCCAATTATTTGAGGCTCATAAAGAGGAAACAAACAATTCTCTCAGAGCAATAGCCATGCAAATTCATAGTTAAAGATGTTATGAATTATGTTATAGTTAACTATATGTTTAACTATATGTTAACTATATGTTATAGTTAAAGATGAAATGAATAAATTTATCAAAGGTTTGGCCAGTCAATTGGAGGCAAAGAAAGAGGAAATGGACAAAATTCTTAAAGAAACACAGGCAAATATAGCCAAACAAACAGAGGCACAAGTAGAGATACAATTAGTGGCATATAAAGAGGAAATGAACAAAAAAAAAAATAGAGACCATCATAGAGAGTCAGGAATTCACACTCAAACAGATGAAGGAAATGGTGCAAGGCATGAAAACAGAATTAGAATCAATAAAGAAAACACAAACTGAGAAAACAATGGAGCTGGAGAACTTGGAGAAAAGATCAGGAACCACAAAGGTAAGCATAACCAACAGAATACAAGAGATGGAAGAGAGAATCTCTGGAGCTGAAGATACACTCGCAGAAATTGATACTTCTCTCAAAGAAAAAGTAAAATCAGAAAAGTCCCAAACACAAAATATCCAAGAAATTAAGGACACCATGAAAAGATGAAATCTAAGAATCATAGGAATTGATGAAAAAGAAGACTCCAAGCTCCAAGGTCCAGAAAATATTTTCAAGAAAATCATAGAAGAAAATTTTCACAATTTAAAGAAAGAGATTTCCATAAATATACAAGAGGCCTACAGAACACCAAATAGGCTAGACCAGAAAAGAAACACATCATGTCACATCATAGTCAAAACACTAAATCTACAGAACAAAGAAAAGATATTAAAAGCAGCAAGGGAAAAAGGCCAAGTAACATATGAAGGTAGACCTACCAGA